AATAAACCTACACCAAGGATGCACACCTTGAGAACTGAAACAGCAAACCACCACAACAACAACAATTGGTTTAGTGGTGTGTACTTCCAAAGAAGAAGAATTTGGTAGTATAGAACCATTTCTGACTTACCTTTCTGTAGCAAGTCCAATGTGTTTCTTCGTTCGACTTCGGGCATTTTCTGGTGGCCTGGTGGTTGATCTGGGTCCGGTTGATTAGCTGCCGCTTGAGCAGCCGCTTCACGCTGTTCCTGACGTCTTCGGACCAGGCTGAGAAAACAGTGAAAACCAAGCAATGGTGACAAGCACAAACTATGGCAGGATCACGACAGGTCAATGTTTCAGTACAAAACCGTGAATATAGGAACGAAGGGTGGGTCTTGGATGTACGGATATAGTTCGGGATTGATTTGAGTTCAGGCTATGTGCAAAACACACCACAGAAAAATTAATCTTCAGAGAATAATGATATGTGAAGTGCAAGAATAAACATGTCCTTTTTCAATTCCATCGCACGCTTTCTTTTTTAAACAGTTAAATGGTTCATAAGTTATGAGTAAATAGATAAATTTGAAATAGCTTGACCACTGTATCCTATTATGCTCCGAGGTTTCATGGTCCCCAATCAAAAATATTCGATGATAGTATATATATATATATACATATCATAAAGAATATGGAAATATGCTTTGTTTGGCATAGCCGGGATTCAGACGTATGTGAAATACAAACATACACACGCGAAAGCATAACCTTTTACAGAAAAGTGAAATAACAAGTCAACTGATCAGAATACCTGTATCAACCCTGCATTTGACTTTCTCCCCTAACGGACGGACCTCAGACGGAACAGTTCCACTGATGCTGCTACATGATGCAGAGGTTTAACTGTCACGAACGGAGGTTATACGAAGATTAACCGTGTTCAAACACCGTCATTCACGCCACAGTGCACGAGTCATGTGAAATAATGGCTGGGTTAGGCGAAGTAACTCAAACAGCGACAGACGTAACGAAGATGATTGAGTACCACATATTGCAGAGGTTGGTGAATGTATTACGTATATCCACGGACAGGCCTCTGCGGCAAGCAGTTGAAGAAAAAAGCCAAGGGCGGTTAGGCTGTGGCTAAGCGCAAGCAATCTGACTAGGGACCTAATCATGCTAATTGCATCGAACATCTCATTCGGAGATTTCATGACCAAACTAAACAGTGTCTAACCACACTGAGAGATCTCGCTCTGTCGTGATCCGTGGTACTCATGCGCATTCTCAAATATTATTTTACTGTCTTCCTATCTTCAGCAGTTTGTTCTCTTTTCCTACTACTTTCTTCACTAGTCAACTAAACGGATAGACAAAAAATAGTATCCCCAAACCACTGTACATAGATACGAGATTAGTGACTGTGCAAACTGCATTTCGTTGTGAATGGCTGCTTTGCGTTACTAGTTAGCCCTGGGATAAAACATGAGGTCATACACTGAAGCAGGTGAACATATAACAACTGCAGGTTTCAGATATAAATCCTAAACTGAAACAATGCGAAAACCGATGAAGCATCGAGTGAAATCAAAAAGTAGCTTATAGCTTATTACGGTCATATCAGCTTCGGTTTGCAGCTCTCAATGCGTAAAGTTCGTCCGAGATTTTGACCGCCAAAATTGGAGGCTCTTGACTAAAGATCACGGAGAGATTTGTTTGCTATCAAGAAGAGATAATATAATACAATATAAGTTGTGAGATAATTCAGTGGAAAATTGTTATCATGAATGTATGAGCCATGTATTCATCCTGTATGCACCATTCTGCAAACCTTGTCCCCCGGAGGCAAGCCATACTTTGACATCCACTAGAGGAATAGTACAGGTCGTATCAATTTGCTTCCTTTTATCATGCGTCGCAGTGTTGATCGTGATTTTGGAATGAAGGTTCGATCTGCAACCGTAGAAAATTAGCAAAACAATTGTGTCCGCTGAATTGGTAGGCTACATCTTGTCTACAAATTTACAAGGATTTGCTGTGAGATGCATAAGCAGAACGAGTCAATCCATTTCCCGCTGATCAGATCCGATCAAGCGAATGACAATTACGCAACCGAAATGTTGGCGTGACGCAAAGCCATAGTGATCAAGTTGGAACCTTCTTCCTTCCTGTGTTCCGAATGCAATTGCATATTGTCTACTATCCTTGGCATACACCAAACTCTACCACCACTCTATACTCTTTACCCTATGCAATGCACCACCTAAGATCTGACATTTCAACCTAATGTATCAAGAGGAGTTAGCGAAATGATAGTATCTTGCAGAATTCGTCTACTTTCCGTCCTTTATGAGTGGATGAAAGCAGACCCAACGATTAAACATAAGCAACGCAATTTCCCACTTTTTATCGCTTACAACTCTGAGCAGCACAACAAATTACAGTTGGTATATAATATCCACAACCATACAGATCTTGTCTCTTTTGGCCTCGTGAGATTCGGTAGGTACACAGAGAAATGATGTTCGTTTATGTAAATTTTGGTGTCTTTGTTCCGATGAGTGAGCACTTAGCGTAGTCTGGTGAATACGACAAGGAAGCGTTCGGCAGAACATCAATATTAGCTCAAACCACGGAGATCACATGAATTGACGCGTACGTTGTTGATACATGCGTTTTTGGTAATCAGTCAATCTTGTGACTAACCACGACTGTTGTTGTTTCACTTAACCAGTCGACAACGTGTCTGGATAAAAATCAGGACGATTCCAGTGTGAACTTGGCAACACACTACACATACAACGGTGCGTGAATAAACAGGCATCGCGACAGAAAACACAATAACCGATAATCCGCAGCTTTTTATCACAGGCAGTTGCCAATAATTACCTTGAGGACAAGTGGTTCTTCCTAGCTTATTCGTGCACACAAATGCATATACTTCCGATAGATAATATTCCTCCATCTTTACCCGTTACTTTCCGGTAGTTTTGTGATATTGAAAATCTCTTACAGCGATGATCGTATCACAAGGCTTACAGTTTACTCTTCGATGAATGACAGATCTGGTTAAAAATCATTATCGCCATTTCGTTACATTTTTCGCAAAAAACTAATACTTCAGAGTCTATCAGCTATATAACTAACATAAGCGATACAGTAAGCTAACCATAAAATAGCTTGTTGCGACGCGATTGCGAACATTTATCTGGGTGCTCCATCAGTCATTTACAAAACACGGATGCCAAAGAGCCTCCGGAAATGGCAAAGTTTGAGTCACAAATTCTCAGACAATGTGGTGACATCTTAAATGCCCAGGTAGCTGAAACTGAACCATGTCGTTGAATGTTTTTATATGATTGTACTCTCTAGGTGAATGGTTGTATAAACTGAACTAGAAAGTCTTCTGGTCCGCGAAGCGAACTTCGTTGACCGCATCAATGTGTCAGTACCGTTTAGTTGTGTCAGTGGCAGAAATGGTTGTGATCATACATTCGATGTATGCCCCACTGTTAGGGTTGAAAACAGTTCTATAAAAACAAGCATGACTTGGAATAGTCATTTGGAAGCGAGGGCACTCACAGATTCACGACACGCTTGTAGTTTCTTTTCACCAAGCACGGGCATGTGAAAAGATTCTCTGGGATAGAGGCGTATATCAGATACTACCAGAATCACTGTTCCTTCAAAGATACAAATGTACGGATGCACGCATCCAACCGTAAACCATCAGCAGGTACAATGCCAGTTGGTTACACAATAGGAACTGAGACGAACGAAATGGGCATGATGATGTGAATTCCGTGTTGTTCTCCATGCTCATGTCAACGGCTTGGTCTGTGCCACTACTGGATTACCCAATTCATGGTGGGACCCAGCTTTGAGGCGTCAACAGAGTATTGGACTACAGTCGCTACACTCACTACGTTGTTCGCTATATTTATCAAATTCAGCAGATGTATGTGTTTATATTATGAAACAAGAGTGACCGTGCAACCTATGAGCACTTTCGTCTCTTGGA